TTACACGTTCATTTAAAACCCAGTTACTCAAATTCTTTTTGTAGATCCACAATCTTAGGTTTACCTACCGTCTTGTTTCTACATAGGCATCAACAATGGGATCCAACGCTCCCACATCAAGAATGGAATTTTATGACCCTCATAGAAGCAGGCAGGCAGGTGGTGGGAGTCATAATCAAAATAGTGGTCACCTAAGGGCGTCCTCCTGCTGCTACTGGTATTTTACCAGCGGCCACCTAATAGCCTATGTGTGACTGAGGAGGAAGGTTGGGCCCTTCCAGTTTGGACAATCTGTTCCCAAGGAGAATCCCATCCAAGGCAGTGTCCTCACCTCATTCTATGTTCCCCTCATTCTATGTTCCCCTCATCACTGGTCTGCCAAACCCCAAACTCTGCTAAACTTTGAAGGCACCTGCAGATCTGGTAAAATGGCTCCTCTTCATTGGTGACTGCCTGTTATCCCAGCAGTGGCCAGTGCTCATGGTGGGACTGATGAGAATATATAGCTGCCTCCAGCCATTAAACCACTAGGGACCATCCATCCAAGCAGAGGTTTGCGCATCCCAAATTTTCGTGCCAGGTGGTCAAGACCACTGCCACCACATAATATTTCTGTCTAAGTTCTTCTCTAGCTCTGATGAAATAATCCAAGCCCTGGCATCGTGGCAGTAACCCAACTATCAAAGTACATGAATCATCCCAAATGTAGCAGCCTCCTGGCTGCTAAAACACAGATAGATTTTGAACTTGGTCAAACAGTAAGGGATTCTGGATACATTGGCCAAGTAAAACTCTAAAGTCACAAAACTCACACACCAAGCACAATGCAAACACAGCAGTCAGGTGGCAATGACATTTGCATAACGTAAAGGCAACAGTTATCCTGGACAGATATACCCCGAACAACTTATCCACCAATTAAAGGAGAACCCAGACAGAAAGGCACGGGTCCTGCTACACAAAGAAACAAACAGTAGCAAGCCATTCAAATGACTGACAATGTTTCAAACTATTAAGTGTGTCTCCCTGATTGGCCAGAACTATAGAAAGTTCCAGAAAACCATCCACAAAGGTAAAAAAAATGGTTCACCTGCAGACCAATCCTTTGGAACTTCTGAGGAGACCAGCATGGCCAAAGGCAGAGACCTGTTGACCATCCGGAGACAGTGAGGAAGAGAAAGCAGTTTTGCAGTCCCATAGAGACAGAGAGAGCAGATGCACAAATCTACAAGAGACTTGAGAAGTATTGTAAAATTCAGGGGCCAAATAGGATTAGAGACAGTATTTTTTCATAGTAAAATGTTTCCTAATAAAGTTTGGCCTGTTTTGCATCAGTACTGGCTTGTGTTCATAGTGATTTGACTGCATCAGTATTGTGAACACCTGAACAAATTCATTCATAACGTTCTGGTTTAAGTTGTATAACTTTTTTAAGAAGGAACTAGACAACATGGAACTGACAGATACGGAGGTTATGCAACAAATAAACAGCACAGCCATAAATCCTGCCTCCATTTCTGCCCTCCAACACTTTTCCATGGGGTAAGAGAGAACAGGCCCCAAACATTCCTGCTTCTATTAAAATTGTAATTTCATTGTGACAAACTCATTAAGAGTGGAGGGTGGGTGAGAGATTGCTGGGTATAGGAGTGGGGGAATGGTAATACATAAGTCAGGTGGAAGGGGTGCATTTAAAGTTTAATATAATTATGCACTTGTTACGGTGTCCCCGAATGACCACAATGTTCACCATATATCCATCTGGAACAATGGATTTAAGAACAGAAGGCAATGAAGGCAGACATTTTAATACGCTTTCCCCAAAATCAGCTGACCTCCAGCCCAGCAGGACCCTTCCCAGGCCAATTAAGGTCCTGCCAACCATAAAATAGCATACATGTCAGGTGGAGTCAGAGATAGCAATACAACTCTAGTTTAGTTCCGACTCCTTGTTGCCACATCCCATGGAAACATTTTTAGTCTGGTTGCAGCTGCAGAGAACGATATGCATTGCACTGACTATATTATCTCTTATCACAATCCCATTACGTTTTATTCCCTACCCCCTGCTGAATTCTTATTGACTAACAATCCAATGCAGTGAGTTTCAACTTTGCAACTCACCCAACACATTTAATATATAATAAATATTTTCATTGAAGTAGAATATATCTTGTGAATTTTTACAATGTAAACTGGGAAGATAAAATATGTTTGATTTTCATCTAAAATTGAAGACCTGTAACTTATTGCAGAATCTCGCAGACATCGGTGAACAGAGAAAGGACCAAGGATCCCATTCAACATTGCCTGACCTGAATTTTAGCTCAGAGGTGGTTACTTTACTGCTGAACTGTTTCAACACAACTTTTAAGTACCAGACTTTTCACACAATATCACAGCGTAAATGATTGCTAACGTTTGAAATTCTTGCAGACATCATCAGAAATAAGAAAGCCAGCCATAGAAAATATATTACTTCAGTTATCCTTGAAGAAGAGGAAAATAGTCAAATAGAGAACTTCTCTAACATAAAGTCAGAAATAGGTATATTACGGTGCTTCCAAAGGCTAGATTACAAAGTTCTGAATCTTTGTATAGTGCTGATGACAGAATAGTTCAGGCTGAAGTTACAGCAGGTCAAGTTGGAAAAATGCTCTCACCTTTGTCGAGAGTTTTCTTTTCTTTTTTTTCTTTCTTGACCTTTTCACTTTTTTCTGATATTTTGCTGCAAGTGGCTTCATTTTCTCCTTTTTTGTGAACTTCCTTTTGTCTTTGAAACTTATTTTTATGATCTTTGGAGTGTTTTTCAACATTTGAAAGGCTTTCCTCCTGTTTTTTAGACCATTTTTCCGAAGCATCATGTTTATTAATTGCTGATTTCTTTGCACCATGTAGTAGCCAGTGGGGTAACCTTTTCCTTTCAGTATCTTTTTTTTGCCTTTCCACATCCAGTACTACAGTAGTTTGGTTAGTTGCTTTATTGTCTCCAATATCAGGTGTTGATGATTTTCTTTTTCCTTTTTTAGGTACTTCCACTTCCTGTCTATCATTTGCTACATATTCATTGTTGCTAATTTGACTATTTGTGGCATCAGTTTTATGTTTGCTAGATTTGCTTGATCTGTTCCTTTGGTCTTGCAAAGGGAGATCATTAACTTCATCATTGGTCTTCTTCAAATCTACATCAGATAACATGCGTTTGAACTTTTTATTCTCTTCATCTATCATTTGAGATTCTTGTGCAGCACTGCTACAAACTGAAATAGTATAATTGCCTACACCTTCATAATTCTCTCCTATCTGCTGTAGACTTTCCTTGACTTCTTTGAGTTTTAACTTCTCTGATTCTGTGAGGTGACTTAGTGATGTTTTGTCCTGCTGTGCTTCCTTTTGTCCCACAGTATCTGAGATATCTGTGTATTGCAGAAAGGAAATGTTTTCCACTTGTTCATAGTTCGAATCCCTTGTACTTGTCTCTGCAGAAACATCACTTGTTAAACTACAAACTGGAGACTGATGTTGTAACCAATTCTGCCTTTTCTCTTTTGTAATTTCTGAAACAACGTATCTCTCTGCATCTTGCAACTCTCCTGAGTTATTGTTTGTTGTACAATTTCTTGTTTCTTCTCCTGTTTCAGGAGACAGCTTCTTTACTTCAACTTCTGAGCTGATACTTGGAGATGCTACACTATTGTCTGTACAAACTTCAGAAGATTCATCTTCCGTACGTAAGCCATTTAGGATTTGTGTTACCTGCTCTGTGACCGAATCAGCCACACTATAACCAGCCTGCCCAACTGCATCACTCAAGCCCTCTACAACACTGCTAAGTTGTTCGACTAAAGAGGACACTGATGGAAAATTCAAGCTTTGATGAAAACTCTTGAAAAACGACATTTAAGCAAGCAGTCTTTTTAACCCCAAGAAAGCAAAACCTCATTCAGATGCAATGTGCAATTGGTTAATGTTGCCAAATTGGTCATCCTTTTCAGCTTACCTCTGTTAGTAAATAAATACAAAAGGGATTAAAATTAATTATGATATGCATATCTAATAAGCAGTTATGTACAAATTTTCAACAATTAGTCTAAAATCTGCAAAGGTATATTAAATCATGAGCCATTGGCGCATGGCCCTTCTTTTTGGATTTAAGAGCAAGTAGTTTTTGAGGAAAGAAATAGGAAATGTGAGCTTATAAACCAATGTGGAAAACTTGGATATGCATCCAGCCTGAATGTCAATCTTGAGGTGCTACAGCTGGGAACTTTAGTGTCACCATATCAGCATGAGGACCAAATGTTCTTATCTTTGTATTATGGGCAGGGACCTTGCCTGTTGAGTTCATAAATAGGAAATCAGGCACATTATCTCATGATTTGTACACACATTGATTCCCCAGTGGTAACCCAAAGATGGAAGATTAGCACTCATTGCCTCTCCCCATCCTTTCCTACAACTCTTGCACCTCCCCAACCACTCCCTCTCCCCAAACCGCCTCCACCCCACTTTCAGTTTCCTTAGGCATTTGGAAATCTGTAGATTGAATGATCTCAAATATTACAAATAGAATCATGTAAAATGGAAGTATCCACAAAGCAATTATAGAATACTATAAGATGTAGTGATTGTTGAGTTATAAAGAGCAAATTATTTGGAGAACATGAACACCCAGTGAATTATGACTCACTACTGCGATGAAATTAAAGTTATCTTGAATTGAATTCAACAACTAAGTTCAATAAAAATGATCCCTAGATTTTCAATTACTTTATTCAAACGAACTGCAGAATTCAAAAGAATGTCACTCAACTTAAATCTAAAGTCTGACATTTTAGCAGAAGTAACAGGACATTTGTATTTCTAACAACTTTGTAATATAAAGAAATTTAGTTAAATAAAAAAGGTTCAGTTTGCTCATGCTCGTCTTTTTCAAAGGAAGTATATATTTTCCACTTACACAAAACTAAAATAGTTAATATCTAAAATAAACCACTTACGGGTATTGTCTTGTAAATCTTTGTTGGCCCTGTATTCTGTGTCAAGGCACGGAAACTCTCCTATATTCTCAATGCACAGTCTTTTGTTGATATATAGAAAGAGAAGGATCATAAGAATGACAATCACGCCAACAGCAGAGAGGAAGCCAACTGCCTCTGGAGATACTGAAAGAAAATGAAATACATTAACATTATCGCTCTGATACCATGGGCACTGCAACCAAAGGCGTATATACAAATATACATACAAACATCAAATATCACCAAAAATGTTGACCTTGACTTAGTGGTACCACACTCACCTTGAGTTAAAAAATTGTGGATTCATGCCCTATGCAAGAGAATTCATTACCATAATCCTCAGTGCTGTGGGAGCTAAGGAGGGGCAGGGTGATCACTGGCCAAGGCTGAATGCCCTACAGGTTGAGAATCTTGGGCTCTATTGGAGGAAGACTGAGGACTTAGTAGGTCTAAAGATCGAGGACCTTAGATTCAAAGGGACATTGGGCCCCGTGTCCCAGCAAATGGGTGTGTGCTTCCATTTGGTTGGGTGGAACATTCCTCCTGCTCCAAACTCTGCATTAATTTGCAAACAACTCATCTCGTTTTTTGCAGACAATCTGTCAAATTGAGTTCCCTAAATGCAACCAATATTAGTGCAAGGATCTCAAGCAGGAACAAGTCCCTTATTTGCACTTGCAAAAGTCCCAAACCTTGGTTCAGGTAGACATAACATCACCAATTTTCTTCTCTATTTAGGTATATAGAAAAGAAAGTCAGAAATGGTGCAAAATGAGTTGTCAGTTTGTTACATAATTATGCATTAGTTTGGTCACTGTTCATAGTTACATTTGACTCCATTAGTGTCAATTATACGTTACAAATATTTTAAAGGCCTAATTCTATATGCATTCATTATTTTGTGAGAAACTTAGAAATGCTAGATCACCACACATGATTTACTGGTGAGCCCAGGAGGAAGTTGGGCTGTGTATTACATTTTGGAGTCTGATTTTACACTTACACAACTATAAGAAATTCCCCGCGCAACAAATTACTTTTGAGTGCAGTGGTCAACTTCAAGTAAACAAACAGGGCAACCTTTTTATGCAACAATGTAATAAACGGGCAGCTTCATTTGAATATTTTTGTTGTGAACGACTGGGGAAGGAATACTTACCAATAAGGGTCTCAGAAAACTGTTGTAATGAAAGTAGGGAACATTATGCTTGTTTGTCTTAAACAGTTCCTCGGGATTTTGTTTATCTATTCATTTGTGGGATTTGAGTGTCCATTTATTGCCCATTCCTAGATACCGTTGAGAAGGTGGTGGTGAGCTGCCTTCTTAAACTGCTACAGTCCACCTGCTGTGGGTTGACCCACAATGCCATCAAGGAGGAATTCCAGGATTTTGACCCAGCAACAGTGAAGGAACAGCGATATATTTCCAAGTCAGGATGATGAGTGGCTTGGAGGGAAACTTAAAGGTGATGGCGTTCCCATATGTCTGCTATCATTGTCCTTCTAGATGGAAGTGGTCATGGGTTTGGAAGGTACTTTCTGAGGCTCTTTGGTGATTTCATGCAGTGCATCTTGTAGATAGTACATATTGCTGCTACTGAGTGTCGGTGGAGGAGGGAGTGGATGTTTGTGGATGTAGTGCCAATCAAATGGGCTGCTTTGTCCTGGATGGTGTCAAGCTTCTTGAGTGTTGTTGGGGCTGCACTCATTCAGGCAAGTGGGAAGTATTCCATCACACTCTTGACTTATGCTTTGTAGATGGCGGACAGGCTTTGAGGAGTCAAGAGGTGAGTAACTTGCTGCAGTATTCCTAGCTACTGACCTGCTTTTGCAGCCACTGCGTTTATGTGGTAAGCCCAGTTGAGTTTCTGGTCAGTGATAACCCCCAGAACGATTATAGTGGAGGATTCAGTGATGGTAACACTGTTGATGCTAAGGGACAGAGATTAGATTCTCTCTTATTCGTGATGGTCATAGCCTGGCACGAATGTCACTTGCCACTTGTCAGCCCAAGCCTGGATATTGTCCAGATCTTGTTGCATTTGAACATGGATTGCTTCAGTATCTGAGGAGCCATGAATGGTGCTAACATTGTGCAATCATCGACGAACATCCCTACTTTTCACCTTATCATGGAGGGAAAGTCATTGATGAAGCAGCTGAAGATGGTTAGGCCGAGGACACTACCCTGAGGAACTTCTGCAGAGATGTCCTTGAGCTGAAATGACTGACCTGCAATAAACACAAACATCTTCCTATGTGTCAGATATGACTCCAACCACCAGAGAGTTTGCCCCCGATATCCATTGATTCCAGTTTTGCGAGGGCTCCTTGATGCCACACTCGGTCGAATGCAGCTTTGGTGTCTAGAGCTGTCACTCTCACCTCACCTCTGGAATTCAGCTCTTTTGTCCATGTTTGAACCAAGGCTGTAATGAGGTCAGGAGCTGAGTGGTCCTGGTGGAACCCAAACTGGGTGACACTGAGCAGGTTATTGCTGTGCATGTGCTACTTGATAGCATGTTGATTACACCTTCCATCACTTTACTGATGATCGAGAGTAGACTGATGGGGCAGTGATTGGATGGGTTGGATTTGTCCTGCTTTTCACGTACAGGACATACTTGGACAACTTTCCACATTGTCGGGTAGACACCAGTGTTGTAACTGTTTTGCAACAGCTTGGCTAGTAGAACGGCAAGTTCTTGAGCACAAGTCTTCAGTACTATTGCCAGAATGTTGTAAGGGTCCATAGCTTTTGCAGTATCTAGTGTCTCCAACTGTTTCTTGATATCACGTGGAGTGAATCGAATTGGCTGAAGACTGGTATCTGTAATGCTGGGGACCACTGGAGGAGGCCAAGATGGATCATCCACTCGGCACTTTTGGCTGAAGATTGCTGCAGAAGCTTCAGCCTTATCTTTTGCACTGATATGCTGGGCTCTTCCATCATTGAGGATAGGGATATTTGTACAGCCTCGTCCTCTAGCGAGTTGTTTCATTTTACACCACCATTCACGACTAGATGTGGCAGGACTACAGAGCTTAGATCTGATCCGTTGGTTGTGGGATCGCTTAGCTCTGTCCGTCACTTGCTGCTGGCACTGTTTGGCATGCAAGTAGTCCTGTTTGGTGGCTTCACCGGATTGACATCTCATCTTCACGTATGCCTGGTGTTGCTCTTGGCATGTCCTCCTACACTCTCCATTGAACCAGGGTTGATCGCTTGGCTTGATGGTAAAGGTTGAGTGGGAGATATGCCGGATCATGAGGTTAAAGATTGTGCTGGAGTACAGTTCTGCTGCTGTTGATGGCCCACAGCGCCTCATGGATGCCCAGTCTTGAGTTGCTAGATCTGTGCAGAGTCTGTCCCATTTAGCATGGTGATAGTGCCACACAGCACGATAGAGGTTATTCTCAAAGTGAAGGCAGGACTTCGTCTCTACAAGGACTGTGCAGTGGTCACTCTTACCAATACTGCCATGGACAGATGCCTGTGTAGCTGGTAGATTGGTAAGGTTGAGATCAAGTATGTTTTTCCCTCTTGTTGGTTCCCTAACCACCTGCTGCAGACCCAGTCTAGCAGCTATGTCCTTTAGGACTTGACCAGTTCACTCGGTAGTACTGCTGCTGAGCCACTCTTGGTGGTGGACATTGAAATTCCCCACCCAGAGTACATTGTGTGCCCTTGCCATCCTCAGTGCTTCCTCCAAGTGTTGTTCAACACAGAGGAGTACCGATTCATCAGCTGAGGGAGGACGGTATGTGGTAATCCCATGTTTAACCTGAAGCCATGAGACTTCATAGAGTCTGCAGTCAATGGACAGGACTCCCACACCAACTCCCTCCCAACTGTATACCACAGTGCCATCACCTCTGTTGGGTCTGTCCTGGCAGTGAGACAGGACATATCCAGGGATGGAGATGGTGGTATCTGGGACATGTCTGTGAGGTATGATTCCGTGAGTATGGCTTTGTCAGGCTGTTGCTTGACTAGTCTGTCAGACAACCCTCCCAATTTTGGCAATTGCCCCAGATGTTAGTAAGGAGAACCTTGCAGGGTCGACAGGGCTGTCTCTGCTGTTGTCTTTTCTGATGGCTAGGTCGATGCCAGGTGATCCTTCTGGTTTCAATTCTTTGAGACTTTGTAGCGATTGGTACAACTGAATGGCTTGCTAGGCCATTTTAAAGGGCAACTGAGAGTCAACCATATTGCTGTGGGTCTGGAATCACATGCAGGCCAGGTGAGGATGGCAGATTTCTTTCCCTGAAGTACATTAGTGAACCAGATGGGTTTTTCAGACAATTGACAATGATTTCATCGTGATCAGTAGATGCTTAATTCCAGTTTTTTTTTAATTGAATTCAAATTCCACCATCTGCTGTAGCAGGATTCGAACTCGGGTCCCCGGGACTTTAGCTGAGTTTCTGGATTAATAGTCTAACAATAATACTACTAGGCCATCACCTATTCAATTTAATACCTACCTTGACATTTCATCTTAAGGTACAACAGACAATCCAGAACTCAATCCTGAAGCCCTGAAGTATCAGCATAGGTTTGGCTATGACCTGGATTTTCAAGTAGCAGCAAAGAAATGGTGCTCTCCATTCACCTTGCTGTCCAGGTCTCATCAATATCCCTATAGAGAGCATTGTGTTGCAAGTCTGAGAGCATGGCACGAATCAGCTAGGCTTTTCAAACAATCAACTTGAAGAATCATTACTTAACTACTCAAAGTCTAAAACAGAAAGTTTAAATTAGAGTTGAATTATGTATAGAAAGTGGAATGGATATTGTGGTGACAAATGAAATTAAATAAAAAAAGAGATAAAAGAAACAAAGACACAGACCTTATGTTCAGCGATGGCAAGACAGCATATGCTGCTGACTGCGTTGGCAACTACAATCTTAATTTTTCATGCTAGAATCTTAGGACCTTCCTATCCTGGCTGCCAAATGGAGTCAGAGATGAGCCAGGAGGGAATTCCTGTGATGTCAAACCTCTTTTCCCATCGTGAACTAAGACATGCTTCTTAAGATCTGCCTTCAGTTCGTTTAACTACATTATTTTTAATGTACCTGACATATGATCTCCATATCTGCCAACCTTGTCACTGCTGACACTGTTCATTCTCCTGCA